AAATATCTAACCGAGGTTAAGAAATATGACATTTTTAGGGCAAAAGTCTTGATGAAGGATTGTAATATATAAATCTAGTTCAGATTTTCATCTGTTAAGCATCCTTATCCAAAGATCAAAATGTCTATAATCAAAGGTTCCAGGCTCACTATTGAATAAATAGACAAGTTCGACTTATGGTACTTTATTTTTAGGGTAATTATACACCATTAGAGTTTCGGGAAGTCAGTCATATGAAAATTTGTACAATTTCAGATTCCAATGGAGTGTTATCAAAAGATAAGTATTTTTGATAGGTAAGGAACTTTTGAGAATTCTTTTGTTAATGACAAATATCTACTTAATGATGGTAAAAAATAATTCAAAACTTATTATTATTTTTTTTCTAACGGACGGTTTCGGGACAAATAAAATTTTTTATTTTCATAAGAATTGTCCTTAACAATGGTGCAATCTATTAGGCTTAACTAAAGCCGCCCTTTCTTTAGGCTGTATGCCACAATATTTGCCATCCTAGACTGAGATAGCTGCATTACTATTATCGTTATCAATGATGAAATGATTAATAGAATTTATATGAGATGTATTCATCTTATTTCGTTTAAGGTGATGCAGGGCTGGCAGTATAATTTTCCAACAATGATATGAGTATAGCTGACGTTTTCCATGAATTTCATATAGCCTTGCTTTCCAAAAAGTTGCTCTCCTCCATGATGGTCTGCATAGGTCTTATCAACACCTTCAGCGGGAGTGGAGCCGTGACAATACAGCATGTGGGCTTTACCCTTTAACCACTGCGCCACATTGCCACGAGCGCCCTTGTGTCACAGGTCAGATAAGAATTTCAAGGAAGGCCAGGTTTTTTCCATATCACATTCTCTGGTCGAATTGTCGATGAAGCAAACGTATTTTTGCTATAGCAAGCGACAACATTACTTCTTTTTCGTATATAAGCAGATTTTCGAGACTATCTCAGTTATATAAAATATATTCAGCCTATTTGGTTTAAGGTAATGAAGGACCGGGGTGTGTGGATAAGACCTATGTGAGGTGAAAACTGCAGTCCACCCTGGATAGGAACAATTTTGGGAAAGCAAGGCTATGTAAAATTCAATGGAACCGTCAACTCT